CTTTCAATCAAATAGTGAAGAGGAAACTTTGCGAGTTTCTCCTCACTAAAGTGATGTTAACTCCGTTTAAGATGCCAATGATCCTTCAACGGATAGATACAGTAACATGACTCTTGATTCATTTTCAACTTTTTTGGACGATACAAGATAACAAGATATATACTTGCATACTGATTCAATAAAGGCATTCCCGTCTTTTTATAGATATTTCACGTTGATAGAGAGGGGGTATACAAAGAGAGAGAGAGAGAGAGAGAGAGGGAGAGATATCATTTAATACATTTATTTGTTCATTCATTCATTATAAAGTGCGTATAGAAAAAGTATACATCAGATGAAGCGCATACGCATTCATCTGTATGATTATTATGGTAAAATCACATGAGCACTTCCTTTTCCAATGGAGGATGGTCGTCTAATTCATGAACTGGACAGCTGCAATATTTCGTGATGAAGTTGAATTCTTCTCTTCCTTTTAAATACACTACATCTGCACCTTGAGTTAGATACCTTATGATATTTCCAAATTGATGGGGAGGAGTGAATACAACATTCCAATCGATTCAGTGATGATTCTGCATCAACCACGCTGCTTGTTTTTTTTTAATCGTGCGGTAGATTGTTGAAGGGAAATGGTGTTTTAAACAAGAAATAACTAATACGACGATGACCATCAAAACAGGCTAGCTCCTTCACTATCAATTTATTGTTCCCCAGTTCGAAGCCTTGGGAATCAATGACAAGCCTAATATTCGGAGATTCTTCAATTTTTGTGAAATCAATTTTTTCTTCTCGAAATATTCAATTTCAGTTTTGAGTTGCCCCAGCTGATGGAGGAAATTAACTATCATGTATCTGTATTGAGGTATCATCATCAACTGACTGACTGACTGGCTGACTGACTAACTGATCAAGACCTATCGTACCATTTCATTCAATGGATTGTAGTAAAATTCTTTTTCATGTAATATTAGGCAATATGCAGACACATCATTTCCTGTAGGCTTAGACGTTTCAAATTCTATTCGCAAAACGTCAGATCTACTCTGAATAATTTATTTTTGGTGAGAACAGTCTATATAAATAATTAGAGCTTTGTCTTTTAATTCTTTAGGGCCGAATAGGGGTTGATTGGTATGGATGTGATAATAACTTTTTTGAAAATTGGCACACATTTCATGTAGCGATGCGAATCGATTTGTATCAAAATCTAAATTCAAATCATGATACGGAAATCTCTCACTATTTAAAAATACTCGTACATTCGTCAGATTACAGTGATTAAATTCACTCATATCTTTCAGAATTTGGCCTTCATGCAGAGTGGGATATTCTATCGATTCCCAACGCCTAAATTGAAGGGGCAATTCAACATTACTACGAAATATTTTATTCAAACGTAGTTGTTCGTTAATACTCGGTGTTATATGAGGTACGTTCCAATACAACTTTGTGATTTGAATTTTTGGTTTTTCCGAATTATTTGTTGCAATAATAGCATCAATGTAATCTTTGTCTCTAATGAGAACTAATTCTTGTCTCATATTCATTATAATCTTCCGATAGTCTTCGAAGAATCCCGACCACAGTTTCAACGGTATGCACACATTGAAATTCCCGCTATTATCAATCATGAGTTTGTCATCATCTTTTGGAAACCACCCTCCGTTCTTAAATAGTTTACTTTCATTTTCATTTGATGATAAATAATTTTTCGAAGTTGAAACAAGACCGACGTTCCCAATAGAATATATCACAACGCCATTCGATTCATACCTCAGTTCTCTGAATAAATGAGCTATACCATTATTGATGAATTGGAATTTGGTTGGTACTTTCAATGGAAACTGTGAATCTCTTCGAGTCTGTTGTGATATGTATCTGAGTGTCCCCCTTCTCATACATTTTATTCTTTATAATTTTCAAAATCTCTTCAATTTCATAAGACCCTATGGGAATTTTGATTTTAAATTCATCATTTGGACCCCACACCAATACATTGTTTGTTTCATTTACATTTGGAATACTATTGAATGTATCGAAATTTATCAATCCAATTTCATAGTCTTGGTGGACTGAAATTATCACTTAAAATTGATGAATCTCCACTGAGCGTAAAGTTATATGAAATGACCAAGGTTTCAAAACAAATGAAACGATATTCATGAGTTGTTTTGATTATATAAAAATTTTAGACAATATTGTCCGCACTGATACGAATTGAATTTTTGAATTGAATCATAATTATATTTGATGATTACATTACCATTGCTCCTTAAATATTCTACTAATTCATCAGGAGGTGGTGAATTGCCAAAACTATCAAAATAGGTGACATTCTCATTGTTTTTTGAATATGCTGTCCAATGAGTACCAGGCCCACTTTCCACATCAAGATTAACTATACCAGATTCATTTGTTGAAATTCTTACTGGCAATGAATCGCGCATGAATACCCCACGGAAATAGAGGATTCTATATATTCGTGCATACGAGATAAGATCTCTATCTGACATTATACGTCGTGGTGATTTTATTTTTTCGTTTTTCTCCAATATGGGCCTAGCTGCCGAAACCCCTTTGAACTTGGTGTTGCTTTTTTCTTGCGCAAACCGTACCCCTAATAAGGTCTAAGATAATATCCTTTTCCAGATTTTTGTTGCTCGAGTGCCTTGTTATGTCTCATTTGTTCGGCTAATTGTTCACGATTAGTTTTGGCATCGTTCACTGCTTTAGCGATGCCCGCACCGCCACCTGCTACTGCGCCAAGGGCCCCCAATAATGGCAGTACAAATGGTAAGAACCCTCCTCTTTTTGGGGCACGGATAGTTCGTCTTTTAGTCACTTCATTTTTCTTAATCAATCCCATTCCAAGTTTACGTTTTCCCTTCATTGCAGTCGTAACAAACCAACCTGCTGCTTTTTCTCCAAGTTTGGTGTTTTCTGCTTCAACTCTTTCCCAAGCCTTATTTTCCAAAATTTCGTCTGCTCGATGCCTTCCACTGGGATCTTCGCTTTTAGAATAGGCGATATCGTGATCTTTACATGCAGTATCTTGAGAATTTATACCAGAATCCCCGCGCTCTGATCTTCGTTGTAATTTAGTGCCCGCTACAAGAAGAGGAAGGGTTGAAAATGAAATCTCGATAGCGTTGATCACTCACGTCCGCAGTAATTATATTTGGGTAAATGCAATTCGAAAGGTAGTTCATCTATTGATGGGTTAACGAAACCTCTTCCTCTATTCGTTCTCTCATGAGCTCTTACTCCGTTTTTGAATTAAACTATTCTAATCTGTTATATATATCAGCACACCGTTATATACTCCTCAGTCTCAACCATTATGAGGTTCCGAAAACAAACCCTACCCATCGGTAATTATGATTTCCATGATAACAAGCAAAATGTTGGAAAACATGGTGAACTATTCGGGGATGATTCCGAACGAGGATTGATCGTAGGTAGTAGCGGATGCGGCAAAACAAACATTATGTTGTCTCTAATCGAACATCCTAACGGATTGAGATTCGGAAATATCTATCTATACTCAAAGTCATTGGATCAACCCAAGTATCAATATCTACGTACTTTGCTTCAACCACTCAGTGAAATTGAATATTATGAATACAAGAATAGTGAAGATTCACCTCCAGCAGATAACAACTGTGATCAAAATATCATCAGAGATTATTACTCTTTCGGACGACATAAACATTATATTTGTCAGACGTACTCTGCTATCCCGAAGCAGCTCCTTCGTGATAATGCCAATTCATTGATTATTATTTCCACATGACACTACCAATTTGAAACATATTTATGATGACCATGCGAATATTGATATGGACTTTCAAAAATTCAAGGAAGTAGCATCTTCTTGTTGGAAGAAAAAGTTTGACTTTTTTGTAATTGATAAGGATTGCGGTTTGTCTTCAGGTAGGTATAGAAAGGGCTTCGATACATTCATTCATGATATATAAAGATGAACTTTCAAAATGGAATCAGTCGAAATGGGCCCTCCATTAGCAAAACAGCTTGTGCAAGCCAGGCACGCACTAAGAAAAAATTATAAAATTATAAAGGGTAACACAGCGAGATCACAAAGTCAATTAGTAATATCATGTCAATTACTCAGTCTATTTAACGATTGGTTTCAACATTGGGAGAGACAGAGGCGGCGGCAGGAACCATAAAACCAGAAAAGTTAAAAAAGTTGAAAAGATTCGAGTCAACACCAGTATCATCACCGAAATCGTATAATCAATTAGCATTTTTATCTTCAACTCTTGAAAATGGATCTGTCATGAAGCTACCAAGTTTTTTAAAAAATGAAGAAACGTATGAATTACGCAATGAGGAGGGGAAATTGCCAGATTGAACCAGAGAAGATGCATTCATCGATGACACCCTATCTCAATTTTATCAGACAATCACAAATCCAGAAGTTCTTCAGGAATATTTTGATCAATTTGAATCACCATTACCTCGAAAATATATTGAAAGGATGATAAAAGATGCAAAAAGTGAATATAATCATATTTCAGGTCTTTTTCATAATCCTGTTGAAGACAAATTCTATATAGGAGATTCTCAAGTGGACTTCATAGGATCCAATGTTAAAGTACGTGACATCACTTACAATGGAACTGCAAGACTTTATGAGTTACTTTTTTCGAAGAATCCCATTTCTTACACCGAACAAGACATTGAAAATGATGTAGATATTATAAAAAAAATATATAATATGTTGTGGACCACCCAATTTATCTCACAACCCAATTTGATTTTGAATATTCCTGCAATTATTTTGACAGACGGACACTGTCATATCTGAGAGTTTTCATATGTCCGTATCCTATTGATGACGACAGTTCCGTCATCTGGAAGCAAGTGGGCAGGATTCGAGCGGCATCGGCATTCCATTCTTGATCAGGGTTAGGTAGAGGTACCATGTGATGTTTGTAATAATCATGTGATGATGTCGAAATAAAAAGCAAATTATGAAACCGAATTTTATTAGGAAAACGACCAGGTTTTCCACAGTTTATCAGAAGTGGGATTCGGATTCGGCATTGGATGGAAAAATGAGAAAATTCGATCCGAAAATTGTGATCTTTCTGCTGGCTGCCGCCATTTCACTGCACGTGGGACCGGTAAGAATGCCTTATGGTGATACTACTGATAAATCGGATGGTAACATATTAGTGCAAGATTTTGAGGACTTTTATGCACTAAATCATCCCCAACAAGCAACTCCTGCTAGTGCTCCTACCGGTAACAGGAACGAAGACATGAATTTCAACATGAATTTGATGATGAAAGCTATGAATGCCATGCTCAGACAGAACGCTGTATTAATCAAAAATCTAATGGAACGAGCTGAAAAGAATTATGTTCAAAACTATAACATTATGCCGGACTTTTCCAAATCTATATCTGTTTTCACCGGCGAAGACTTGAACAGGAGTCAGCATTGGCTGAGCTCTTTGGAAGCTGCAGCTACCCTCCATCATTGGCCCTCTGCATTTATGCTAGAGACAGCTAGAACACATCTTGTCGGAGCAGCTTTCCACTGGTATGAAGCTAGAAAGAGTAGCCTGACAAATTGGCCAGCGTTTAGAGAAGAATCCAAAGGTACGTTTGTGCATGAAAGACAACTCACTTCGCTCTGGAAGGAGATGACGTCAAGGGTACAAGGACCAAAAGATGATCTGAGTACTTATCTTCATGAAAAAGTCAAACTCTGCAGCCAATTACTCCTGGATTTTGAGAAACAGAAGGATCAGATTGCTTTTGGTCTTCAGTCAAGGGAATTGGCATCCATGATTGTATCAAAGACGCACATTGACATTGATGATCTTTTTCGAGACCTGGTTAGATATGAAGAACTCAATTGGGAGCGAAGACAGCGTCAACCCCACGATCGTACCCAGCAACAGTCCAGAGGTGAAGAGAGGACATCCTTAAGCCGAGAAGTATTGAGGTGTTTCAACTGCAACGGAGCAGGACATGTTGTCAACTCTTGCAGAAAGCCAAAACGTGAGGAGGGTTCATGTTCCATATGCGGTTCCACCCAACATCAACAGAGGACTTGCCTGAAGGAAGGAACTGTTCCATCAACTATGGCTACTCAAGGTACTTCCAGTAGGAATCCAGACAACTCTACAAATATTCTGGATGTGGTTCCTAGCTACAGAATAGACATGATTATGGAACTAGATGGAAAGGAAATTAGTATTACACCAGTCCTAGATACAGGTAGCCCAATATCATTAATTATCAAAAATGACCCCGCACTAAACTATAGTGAAAATGGCTCTCAATGAAAATCGCTGAATTTTTGGTATTTTGCAGACTTCGATATACTGAACAGATATTCCATTGAACTAACCTCAAAAAATGAACAGTTTTTCCGATATTGACCTCCAAATGTCATTTTTTCAAGAAACAAAAAAGTATCTGAATATGGTTGAATTTTTGGCATGTTGTAGATACGAATGAACTGATGAAAAAAACCAATTGACCTAACCTATAAAAGTGGACAGTTCTCTCGATATTGACCTCCAAATGTAATTTTTTCAAGAAAAAAATCTCTGAAAATGGCTGAATTTCTGGTATGTTATAGATGGGAATGAACTGATGAAAAAATCCGATTGACCTAACCTCAAAAAATTGACAGTTTTACTGCTACTAACCCCTAAATCGTATTCGAACAACTGTATGAATGTTGACCTTCAGAATGTTATTCTGTACGATTCCAAGGTCAGGAAAGTTAGGAAAGAATAATGTTTCATCATCATCGACGTTTCGTCCTTCATTATGGGGCATCCTCAGAAATCTATGAGTGAACCTACTAGAAAAATGAGTCAATTAAATTATGTTGCAGCTTCGATTTTCAAACACATTCTCCTGAACATCCTTATATAGGTGAGTAGATTTTTGAAGTTTTTTCAGGTTTTCATTTTATTCTGATAACTTTTTTCATGTTTTTCGTGTCTTTTTGCTCATCACACAATTATTTTTATGTTTCATTGTACCCATTCTGCTTGTAATTGAAGAGTCCTGAATTTTTGGTTTGTCGTAGATTGTTGTTGAATATAATTATTGATGATTCCAGGGATGCAATAATGAAAAATTGTATATCATTGCTGTCGTTGACTTCTGGATTACTTTTTTTCATACAATATACATCCACAGGTGAGAAATAATTTCGCAGTGACAATTTCGATAATCTTGCTACTGGAAATGGACGATGGGTTCGATTGGATGAACATCGTCTTCTGGATTTTCCGTCTCTCACTTTGGATCAGTGGCGTGACATAACTGTTGGCATTCATCAAGTTCGATTGGCCCCTTTATATATTCAAGACAGAATCTAACGAGAACAAGGGGAAGAGTTTGAAGTAGATCAACTTAGTGATGAACTAGGTCTCCTAAGAGCTAGACTTCATTCTCGCTTCAGAAATGCTGTCAAATATCAGGTATGGATAGCTTATGTACCTATCGACGATTGCGAGGCAAATGATGAAGTCACACAAAGCTGAGGATTTCAATAATATCATTCTAGGTAATAATTGGACCTGTAGTTCGGGCACTCAGACACTTGGTTCGTGTGGACACGTAGCTAGCGTGTCATGGTTTTCAGGCTTTGCACGTTATCTCACAAATGTGAGATATCTCGCATCGTCCCTTATGGATAGAGTGTTGTATGCTGCTCATCGGCCTCAACAATGTTCAAAAAAACCATCTGAGGCTTTCTAAGAGAATACGAGAGACAAAGCATTATGATTGATCCTTTTTGATGATATGATTATCACTACTTTTTCCAAAGATAATAGAGTATTTTCAAATAAGTCAGTTAAAGCCCTTCGAGCAAGGAAGTTCGCACCGCTTATGTTTCTTGCTGAAGAAGGAAGAAAAAGAGAAACTACAAAATCGCTAGAAACAAATCTAAAACTAAAGAACTCGCAACCCAAACTTGCTCACTTGTAGTAAATCGTTTTTTATTCAGATCTCTGTACATTTTGTGAATAATTATTGAAATTCACGATATATCATAACATGAAAATCGCGAGACAATGCATGACGTCATATACCGCGATCAATTCATTGCGAATATTTTATTTTATTCCATGATTTTCAAGAGCTAACACCAACCTGTTCACTGTCACAAACCGTTTTCTCTTCAGATTTCTGTACACATCGTGAATAATTATTGAAATTCACGATATTTCATAACATGGAAATCGCGGGACATCGCGTCATATACCGCGATCAATCCATTGCATTTGAGTAGACATGTCGACTTTTGCCAGTATTAATGTAAATATGCTAGTAGATATACAAGGTCGATTGTAATATCAAGATACTAGAATCGACCTAGGATCAATTAACACATAGGTCGATGCAGAGATCAATGATACTAGAATCGACCTATATGTTATTTGATCCTAGGTCGATTCAGAGATCAATGATACTAGAATCGACCTATGTATTATTGATACTAGAATCGACCTATGTGTTATTTGATCCTAGGTCGATTCAGAGATCAATGATAATAGAATCGACCTATGTATTATTTGATCCTAGGTCGATTCAAACATCAATGATCTCAGAACAGCCTAATGGTTTCTTGATACTAGAATCGCTTTATATGTTTTATGGACATATGGTTTCAATATGGAAATTCTTGCGATCTCAGAATCAGGTGGTGAAGCATCTCAGAAATGAGCCGGGGGGTATTCTCCTGCTTGTCACAGTATCGAGTATTCTGAGACCCGCTATATTGAACGCAGTACTCAGGGTACTGTACATTTTGGATATAACCTAAGGGAGGGATCAGTGAATCGAACAAAGAGTATTATTTGATAATTGTATTAACTAAAAGTAGGACATTTCAAAGTAACTCGTTTGGTTGTGGTCATTTTGTTTTGTTGGAATCGTCTCGGATTAAAAAAAACCTGTTGGTTCCATTTTTCTTCTTCTCTTGAGCTTATCTTGATGCTGTTGAAATTCTTCGTCATCTCAAAAATGTCGATAGTCATTTTGAGTTCCTTCAGGTTTCTGATATGTTGATTCAATAAGTCGTTGATGCACATCTGAGCGGTCAGCAAACAAATGAGAAGGTCATTGGGGTAGGAGACTACTTATCCAATTATGTAAATCCCTGCAATTTCGAAAACTGCACATATTGTTGTCACTGGAATTATGGTGCATGCATAGAGGACTATCAGCCTTGAATTTGACGGTATCCATGACATTGTCAAAAATTTCGATATTGACTATTTTGGGTCTGTGAGATGACGTTAGCATCGAATTTAGAAATTCGAGTTTTTCGTGTCCTCTTACATAAACTAAGTCAACATCTTTGAGATGTTCTGATAGTATATTCGGTAATTCATCATAGTCTATCAACCCAGAAGAGTATGTTAGCCCATGGAAATTTCGTTCTAGCCAACGAACTTGTTTTTTGTCTGCTTCCTGAAGTGCACAAAATGGAACGGCTGCTTTGAATAAATAGTTGTTGATCTGATAGCCATTCGAAATTGATAGTTCTTTGGGGTAAAACGTATTGGATAACGAGAACCCTCGGATATCTATACTTAATAACTTCATTGCGTGGATGATGATACACAACTGAAATTATCGGCTACTTGAATGTTATCTTCAAAATGAAAGAGTATAGTGGGGGGATGAAGAATTTATTTTACAATTGCTTGACAATTTTTGTCAAAGGACTGTAGCTGAACATTTTATCATGTAAAATTGAACAGAATACTGAAGTGTTGTCTGGAATTGCTTTGGCTGTTTCAAACTCTATTCTCATCACAACTGATCCACTTTGCAAAGATTCTTTCTGATGGGAACAGTCGATGTATGCCATAGGGATGTTCTCTACAAACTCCTTCGGTGAAAACATAGGTTCCTTACTAGATCCATAAAACGATGGTCTGAAATTTGCGAACATGGAATATAATTGGGAAGTTTTATCAGCAGTGAAATTCAGATATAAGTCATTATATGGGTATCTGTCACTATTCAAGAAAACTCGAATATTTGTCAAGTCGCAATCATCGAATTTACTTGAATCTGATTTTATATTATTTTTTCTGTCTGTTTGGAAGACAACGATGATGTGACGTGGTGTTTCCAACTGATTTGTCATTTTGACAGGCCATGTCGTTTTTGTGGATGTAGGCAATTTGGGGTATTCTATGAGTTCCCAACTTCGGAATGCTAGATATATTTCTTGATTTTTTTCTACCATTTTAGTGAACAGCAATTGTTGTGGAATAATAAAACGTGAGGCACTCTCCAGAATATCTTGTCGATGTGTACTTTTGGAATTTCCTTCACATCGGAACTGTATGTGGCGTCGATGTCGTCATTGCTTCGAATCAACACCAATTCCTGTTTCATGTTCAAAATCACCTTTCGATAGTCCTCGAAGAAACCCATGATGAAGGAAAGTGGGATACATACGCTGAAATTCCCTCTAGCATCTACAAGAACTTTCTCATCCTTGTTGGCGAAATTCACTTTCGGAAACCAACCTGCGTTTCCCAAGTTGATACTTTCATTCGCATTGTATGATAAGTACCCCTTTATTGTCGATACGAGGCCAATATTTCTAACTGAATCAATTGTTATACCATTCAATTCATACCTTACCTCTCTGAATAGAAAGTTTATAGCATTATTGATGAATCTGAGTTTGTCGATAGCCGTTCCATTGGATTGCGTCAAACGACCTTCAATGTATAGGTAACTTTCACATGGCAAAGTATATGTATCAAGCTCCTGAATTGATATTCTAATTTCGTCATTGTATTCAAATTTTTGTAGAAATGGTTGGTATGTGTGATACTACTTTTCTTGAATTGATTGGTCAACTAACGGTTTTTGATTGATATTCAAAATATTCATTATATTAGAAGCTTAAATCCTAGAGACTTCAAAAAAAGACGATTGGAACGTGTTAGTCTCTTGGTGTTTTTCTTCACACTGGTGGGTTTTCCTAAAATCTTTGCTCCCTTATACCAAATGGGGTCGACCATCCTATTGTACTTAATAACCATAATTATCCGAGTTTTTTCAAGTGAAGGCTGACAGTTATGGTTTCGCCTCGAAAATTA